TGTCATGATGGATGCTACAGCCTTAGGACAATGGGTGCCCAAAGTCTATGACTGAAGCTAGAAAGAAACAAGGAGATCCCTGAGTCTCTGTGACGCTAATGCTTTCTTTTGGAGAGTATCCCATGGATGCTCTGCTGCACTGAGGTAGGGGTGAGCCTCCAGATATAAGCAGAGCACATAGTGGCATAGCCAGAGTTGTTTCTGCCTCAGCATATATGTGTATGCATGTATACATGAGTAATATATGTATATGTACAATACAGGTACATATAGTGTATATGTATATATTTTATATATACACACATACATATATAATATATATTGGTTTTTCGAGACAGGGTTTCTCTGTGTAACAGCCTTGGCTGTCCTGGAACTCACTTTGTAGACCAGGCTGGCCTCGAACACACAGAAATCTACCTGCCTCTGCCTCCCAAGTGCTGGGATTAAAGGTGTGCACTACCATCACCCAGTTGTGTGTGTGTGTGTGTGTGTGTGTGTGTGTAGTTTTTTAAAAATTTTTTAATTATGTGCATGGGGGTATGTACACATGAATACAAGTGCTCACAAAGATCAGAGATGTGAGATCCTGGAGCTGGGGTTACAGGCAGTTGTAAGCTGCCTGACGTGGGTATTGGGAATTGAACTCATGTCCTCAGGAAGAGCAGTATGTGTTCTTACCCACTGAACCATCTCTCCAGCCATATACACATATTTTTTTTTAATGTATGAGTGCTCTGCGTGCGTACCTGCATGCCAGAAGAGGGGCATCAGATCCTATTATAGATGGTTATGAGTCACTATGTGGTTGCTGAAATTGAACTCAGAACTTCTGGAAGAGCAGTCAGTACTCTTAACTGCTGAGTCATCTCTCCAGCCCCCAGAGCTCTTTCTGAAGTCAGAGGTAACCATGCTCATCTCAGACCAAACGCCTTTTCCCTCTGCACTGGGGATACCTGGGTTGCATCTAGGGAAAGAAATCTGCCCCAGGGGTCTTGTTGAGGGCTGAAGACTCTGCCCACAGTCTCCAAGCTATTTGGGTTGTCAAAGGGTTCCAGATTCAAGATTAGCTGACCGAGCCTCCTCAAGTCCTTGTTGGTGTAGCCTCCATGTAAAAACTGGCTAAGGCTGGAGGCAGAGGCATTCAGGAAGCTGCAGACTGATGGCCGGATGAGTACTTGTGTGGTTGCCTCAGTCCTGCATTAAGCATCTTCTTGAGGCTGAGGCCTAGAAGTCAGGGATTTTGACTATTCAGTGAAGGCCAAGGATGCTGGAGAATATGAGCCACACAAAAACAGAATGGGAGTTGTCTCTGTAGGGGCAGCAAGATAGATGGTCTGTTATAGAATCAGGAAGCTGAGGAGTAGAGGAAGGCTCAAATTGTGACCTGTTGCCATTATGGTCATCTCTGTCATCTTGACACAACCCAGAATCACATGGAAGAAGAGTCTTAATGAGGAATTGTATATTACTGAATTGGCCTGTGAGCATATCTGTGAGGGACTGTCTTAACTGATGTAGGAAGCATCCCACCGTGGGTCTTTGCACCAGTCCCTAGGCAAAGGGTCATGAACTGTGTAAAAGTAGAGAAACCAAGCTGAGTATAAGCAAGCAAGCCATTGGGCAGGTCTGCACCCAGTTCTCTCTGCTCTTGCCTGTGGATGTAATATGCCTAGCGCTCTGAAACTCCTGTTTGATGTCCCCACAATGATGGACTATACCCTGGAACTGTAATATGAAATAAGTCCCTATCTCTCCTAAGTTGCTTTTTGCCAAGGTTTTTTTTTTTAATCACAACAACAGAAATGAACCTAGAACAGTTGCTAAGAGGTATAATTTTGGAGGGCCAGATCAAGACTCAAGGATGAGCACTCAGCAGAGGTCTGGAAACCATGGGAGTTTTACTAGCCTACAGAGAGCCCAGGGGTCAGCTAATCCTCACAGCCAGCAAATAGACCCAGGGGTGCTGAATTGCTAAGGCAATCTTTAGATCCAAGTCCATGAAGAACTGGGTGAGAGATGCTTTGATTCTAGAAAAGCCATCTTCTCAGGGATGTCCACAAAAGGTCAAGAAAGGAGATATTTCCCAATGGGAAGTATCTGGAACAGTCATCCTGCTATCTAGAAGGAAGTACTATAGATTGGAGTCCATTGTTTTCTCTTTTGTCTTATTTCAAATGGAAGAGTTTTAAAAAACAATGGTCTAATCTCCCTCCACTTTTTTTTTTCCTAGACAGGGTTTCTCTGTGTAGCTTTGGAGCCTGTCCTGGAACTCACTCTGTAGGCAAGGCTGGTCTTGAACTCACAGAGATCCTCCTGCCTCTGCCTCCTGAGTGCTGGGATTAAAGGCGTGCGCCACTACTGCCCAGCTGTCTCTCTCCACTATTTTATATTAGTTATTGTAGGAGTGAAAAATTGGGCCTTTTGGCCACATACTGCAAAATCTTCAGGACACATCTGGACTTGATCAAGAATCAGACATCACTCGGGGATCAAGACTGGGTAAAGAACGCCAGATGTTGGTAGCACACACCTTTAATCCCAGCCCTGGGGAAGCAGAGGCAGGCAGGTCTCTGTGAATTCGAAGCCAGCCTGGTCTCCAAAGCGAGTTCCAGGAAAGGTGCAAAGCTACATAGAGAAACCCTGTCTAGAACCCCCCCCCAAAAAAAAAAGACTGGATAAAGCAATTGTGTTCACAACTGCTTTGTCTCTCACATACATAGAAAACAGCTGTGTATGCTTCGGTTGGGCCCAGGATTATTACACTGTTAGCCAGACACAGTTTTGGAATTGTATGTTTGTCAATAAAAGTTTAGGTACAATAAAGAGTAAAATGTGCTAGGTGTCGATTATCTTTCCCTTTGCCAAGCTGTTTCTCCTCTTCCTTGCAGACCTGAAAAAATGGCCCAGTTTTCTATCTTAGAAACATGCTCAAGGCTGAGGAAAGTCTTCCCTGGGATTTTAGAGCTAGAAGTAGTGAGATCAACATATAAAAGGAAGTGGAATAAAGAGGTAGAGACATCATCATTTAAACCCCTAGACCCAGCAATGACTAGAGGCAGGGATTTATCCTTTGACCAATTGTTTATGCAAGCTATTTAATTTCCTAATGACCTAAAGATGCTTGTGTTTAGGTTTTGCTACTTGCAATTGAAAAGGGCCAGACTATTACATGAACACACAAACAAAGACATAACACCATGTTGCTCAAACTCAAACATTCTACAAATCTTCCATTACCTTACCAAGGGTCTAAGGGACCAGATAAATGCTTAAAGCTTTGTGAGCCACGTATGGTTCTGTATCATCATTTTGTTTTGACAACACTTTAAAAATATCAAATGGGAGATAGGGCTCAGTTAAGAATGGACTTCTCTTGCAGAGGACCAAGTTCAATTTGTAACGCCCACATTAGGCCACTGACAAACACCTGTAACTCCAGTTCCAGGAACTCCAGTGTCCTCTGCTGGTCTCTATGGGCACCTGCACTCATGGGCATTTCCCCACAGAGAGACATGTACACATACTTATAATGAAAAAAAAATCCTTGAAAAAAATTAAAAAAAAATCATTCTTTAAAAAAAAATCATCCTTAATGTGTAGGACATACAAAAATATGTCACAGGTCAGGTCTGGCTGACAGACTATAGTTTGCCAACCCTTGATCTAAATCACGCCAACCCCTGTGGCTTGGGGATCTAGAGTTTGCCAATCCCTCACTCATATCCTACAGTATGACATAAAATAAGTTCCATATTGTTTCAAATGCCTTGACCTGACTCAGTACTGAGTTAAGGGTCAGGGTAGATTTGGAAATGGTAAAAGGGTCTTGACTTATTTATAAAGTAATAGAATCTGAAATAAGTGATTATTTCTTGGCTATAAACACCTTTTCACAATTATGCATTTGCTCAAAGACTTGGTTTGAATATCTCAGTTCCTTCTTGATGACTCTTCACCTTAATCTTCAGGAAGACTTTCTTGGGTCTCCCAACATGAGGGCCTGGGTTAGTAGTTTTCTTGCTATAGACCATATGCATCCCTCTATCGTATGTGCTTTACTAGTCTGCGTTTCCCCTTAACTCCTGCTACGTGGTGGTAGTCCGAGCCCTAGAACAGTGCTTAGCACCTAGCACTGAGAGAACGTTCTGCTTTTAGGTGAACACCTGAAGTGTGTTTCCGTGTGTGCCCGTGCATGTGCACAGATATGCAGAGACCAGAGTACAACTTCAGCTATCATTCCTTAGCTTTTTTGAGATAGGGGTCTCTCATTGTCCTCGAGCTCACCAATTTGGCTAGGATGACTGACCAGCGGACCTCACAGATCCGCTTGTCTCTGTTGAAGTGCTGAGATTATGTGTGCATGCCTGTTTTGTTTGTTTGTTTATTTGTCTGAATGTGAGTTCTGAGGAATTGACCTCAGTTCCTTGGGCTCACAAAGCAAACACTGTATTGTCTGAGCTGTGTCCCCAGGCCCATGACTATGTCTTTGTTTGAATGGGCAGATGTTGCATATCTCCACCTGTACCCAAGGCGCTCGTCTTCGGGTTAGCACTATGCTGGTGTATATGTGTCTCCACATCAGTTCCTCTCCCAGCTGGCAATTATTTGTAGATGTAAACCACAGCTAACCTGGCAATGTGGTTGACAAATCTAGTTTTAATTCTCATTACTTCCAAAAACCAGTCGAAGACAGAGGACCAGGTGAAAATAGGTTTTCTTAGAAAGTGCCTGGAGGGCATTATCCTCTTTCCCACCCACATCCTTCACTGTCCCAGTGTTATCAGATGGCAGGCCTCCAGTGTTGGACCAGAGTAGCCCCCATTCTGTGGGGCTTCGAACTAGGTTGATCCATGACTTAGGGGTGGGAGTGTAAATTATTCCCTCAGGGAAAAAAGTGTGTCCTAGGCCCCGCAGGCCCAGGAAGGGCTGGGCAAGGCAAGGTGAACTGTGGTATTCTAAGCTGAATCTTTGCCCATCTCACAGAAGCAGGCAGGAAGCACCACTGTTGATCAGCTTTATATGGCACCCACTGTATACAACAGACAGACAAGGACAGACAGACAGAGCACACACCACTTCTAAGCTGAACACTGCTCACCATCTAAAAGCACCTTGGGTAAGCACACGTGAGACACACTTGCATAGGAAAGATGTACTTTTTAAAGGAATGAATTAGTATTTTGGCAAAACATCTACTTCCCTCCCGGGTCCTGGGTCAAGAGGGACCTCTAATTCTGAAGCTTCTACATAGTGAAAATTATCCCCTTCTCAAAGGCAGTATTTACAGCAGCAAACCTTCCATATCTGTTGTCACAGCCCTCTACATATATCTTGAGTCTACTTTACAGGTGGGCAAACTTAGACTAAGAGACAGAAGGTGGCCTGGAGCTAGGGGACACTGGGGAAACAAGTCGCAAGAGGAGGGGAAACAGGAGGTGTCTCAGCTCAGCCAAGGCGCGGCCTCGGCCTGCCTGGACTGGGAAGGCAAAGGCTCCCTCTTTCTTCCGGCCTGGGGAGGCTGGGGCTCCGCAGGAAAGGGCATCGGGAAGGAAAGGCAGATTCCCATTCTGATGGCTGGGGCCCTCCCAGGAGAGCAGAAGGCCGAGCGGGCCTGAGCTCCTCCTCGTCAGGGATGCTATCTGAGCTTGGGGATTGTGGGCTCACTGCTTCCATAACCGTCTTCTTGCTGGAATATGAGTCTAGACTTCACATCCTTTTCCATTTTTTAAGAAGGGCAGGGCAAGGAAGTAGCTTCAGAAGGAACGAGACACAGGACAATCTTTCCACAGCCTCCTCTGCCTAGGCTGGGCTATCAAGGGTCTCCTTCACCCTGTCTCCTAGGGGTATTTAAAGGCCGCTTTTATGAGACTCTATACTGTCTTTTTTGTCTCTCTTCTGTTTTTTCTTCTTTGTTTTAATTTATATAGATATATATATATTCTTAAAAAAAGCAATAGTCCTTTGGTCCCTAAACACTAAGGAATGATATGATTTTGAACGAAGTAAGTCTGGGCTTCCCTTGTTGAGAAGCCCTTGGCACCCCCGAGGCCCTCTGCTGGTTCCCTTAGATCAGTCGATCCTCAGCCAGCACTGGTTGCCCTGCCAGCTTGAGCGCTCCGTGGAACAACCCACATGATGAGTGGCCTGAGCCCCAGGCGCCAGCCCTGGGTCCGGTCCACCTCCGTCTGCTGCCACTCCTTCCGGTAGGGCCACTCCAGCGTTTCTGTGCTTTTCTTTCTCCTTCCTTCTCACTCTTCAGTTTCTGTTGTTGGGTATTAATTGATAGGGAGACAGGGGTGGGAGGAGGCAAAGGTCACTGAGGGTAAGATAAGAGCAGCCTGTCCCCTCTGTGACATCTCAGCTAAGTGTCTGGGTTTCTCTTCCTGGCAGCATCCTGGCCACAGAAGCCAGCCCTGCCTGGATCACAGGCAGACCATTGTGGTCAGTGTCCTGCAGGAAGTTTCTGGGGCAGCTGGAGTAAGCTGAGACCAAGTGGACCTGCAGGGCAGCACAACTCTCCAAGTTGCAGGCAGCCTCCTAGGGCCCTTCCAGACTGGCCCTTGTCACCTCATTGTTCATGAAGCCCTGCAGGTCTACTGAGGATCTTTACCCCTCTCCCCTCATCTCCACATTAGCTGCTCTGTTCTTCATTCAGACTGCCCAGTGGTTCCATCCCCTTCACCATAAAGTCAGGACTTATGGTCCATGAGGTCCTCATGAACTGAACCAGACCCCATTTACCACAGCCCTCCTATATGAGCTCACTGCTTCTGTGGCCTCCTACAGCTGTTGCCATAATATATTGGGCTGAATTTTCCTAAAAATCGCCTCTCCAAGGCTGGAAACACCAAGGTTGTCTAATTCATCTTGGACTTCAGGTTGAAAGAAAATCCCAGTCTCTGTTCCCCTTGTCCCTGCCTCTTCTCTTTATTCCTGGATTTCTCAGAGGGCAGTACCCCAATGTCATAAAGCTGGTAGGGTCTTGGGACCTGGGTCCCATTTGCATGACATCCATCAAAGACTCACCTGTCTGTGACTGATCAGTGAGTGCAGATCAGTAAGGCCTGTTGGCATCCTTAGGTCTCTTTAGCTGGACCTTGAGCCTCTTCATGCCGATTTGAAAGCCATTCATGGCTTGGATGGCAGTCTGGGCACTGGTTGGATTGTCAAAACTAACAAACCCTGGAGGGTGTGGGCAGACAGGTTAGCTGGGAATCCAGCTTGCCAGGGTCTCCTTTCTCTAATTTCCAGGCTAGGTCTATCACATATGTATCTTTCCATTGCTTAACTATGTGAGCATGTATGCCTACATAAGCATAGACACATGCTTAATAGAGGCAAATCATTCCTAAAGGTGTGGTTTCCAGAGAGATGGGAAGCAAGTCTGGTCGGGGAAGGGACCCGGTGTTGGTCAGAGTATTTCCCTGATTTGGGTGGGCTGCTTCACTCCACTCCTCCCAATCTGGCTTCAGATCAGCAGTTGGGGTCTGAAGGCAACTCATGATTCCAAACCCAGACTCATCCCGCTCTGGACCAGCTCCAAAACTGCAACCTTCCTGATTTCACACACTCTAGTTACCCAAGATTCTCAGGTGATCTGAAATAAGGCTTGCTGTGCCCATACTTTGTCCCACAACATTCAGTCTCTGGAAGCCTCATGTGTGGTCCCTGGGGAATCCTGAGGCGCAGGGATGGATCAGCTCACCAAAACACTTGCTCTGGTTGGTGGCACGATCCACAAAGACTTTGGCAGAGACAACGGCTCCGAAGGGCAGGAATGTCTGTATGAGTTCTGCATCCCCAAACTCCTGAGGCAGGTGATAGATGAAGAGGTTACAGCCTTCGGGGCCTGCAGGAACAGGAGCAGGCTTGTTCAGGGGAAGGACCCCGAGGGGCACCCCCACAGACAAAGGCCGCTGCTCTCCAGCCCCCAGGCCCTCACCTTCTCTTTGTTGTTGAGGCAGAGCTGAAGGCTGCTGGGGGAAAGCTGTGTTCACTGGGCCGTAGGCCGAGGGATAGGCTGCTGGAGACAGAGGTGGGAGCGGGCAGTGACCCTCAGGCGCCATTTCCCACACAGATCCCTATGTGCCTGGCCACCTCTGACAGGTTCAACCCCGTTCACCATTACCCTTGTCCCAAGACAGGTCGCTGGGGGCTGGGAACTGAACAGGATGGAAGAATTGACTCCTCGGCACAGAGCCTAACCCTCCCACAAATCTCCCTATTCCTTTCCGAGGCCGTTGAACATCCCACATCCCCACCCCCGGGCTGGGCAGCACCGAGAGAAACCTGCATAGTGGTGTATCCCAGCGTAGGCCTGCTGCAGGGAGTCAGCCACACCGGGGCTCTGGGCTGGAGAGAGAGGGGGCCCAAGGCCCACGATGAAGGTAGGTGGGCAGGGGTCAGGGGCCAGGGGAGAGACCCTGGGTGGGAGTGTGGGAGGTGGAGGACCGCTGTGAAAGGCAGCAGGGAAGATGGGGGAATCCCTTCCCCCCAAGCAGGACCTTGCCTGAAATGCCTCGCTTCCACTCCATTTCCAGGTTTGAGTCAGCGGGGTAGGGCAACCCACCTGGGTACGGGGAAAGCCCGTTGTTATAGAGCGTATCAGAGCCTGGCTGTCCGTTGGTCTGGGGGGTCAAGGAGCCGAATCCATTGACCCCCATGGGCGCTGGAAGGCCGGGGAGTGCACCAGGGCCGCTGCCACCAGGTGACGCGTTAGCTGTAGATGGAGGTAAGAGAGTCAGGAAGTGAGACTTCATGGGCCCTCTCAACCGTGGCTTCAGTCTCTTGGGTCCCTTACCTGCTGTAGGCAATAGCGGTGCGGCCACCAGGCTGAAGGCCGCTACGTGCTGCATCTGGGCGGCCACGGCGGCCACCTGGCCTAACCCGGGACCCTGCGCCGCGGCCAGCAACGCTGCCTGGTGTTGCAGGATCTTGGGGAAGGAAGAAGGGCGACTGTAGAGGCCTCAGCGGCTGGTAACTGCCTATCTCCCGACCCGGAGCCAGGTCCTATCCTCTCTGGGCCCGAGGCAGGCACCTACCGCAGTGGTGTAGGCGCCACAGGCTCCGAGAGGCAGTGGCGCTGGATGGAAGGCGCCCAGCTGGCCAGCCATTTGCTGCATCCTCCGTAGTGCGCGCTCGCGGTCGGTGTCTGCCAGCTTCACCACCAGGCTGGATGAGGCGCCCTGGGCCGAGGAAGGATTTGGTGACCTGTACTGACCCTGACTGAGCTCTGAGCCCAGCGCCTTCCCCAGCAGGCAAAGGTCACCGAACGCGGAGAGCCTGTTAGGTGAAGGGAACAGGTCCTCCACCCCGCTGGCTTCACCCTCAGCCCAGGTCCCGGCTCTCACCGTCATTGTCCGGCTACCATGCAGTCCCTGGATGGCAGCTTGAGCTTCCCCTTGACTCCCGAATTTGACAAAGGCACAGCCTGGTGCAGGAAAGAAGAACGGAATGACTCAGGCTACAGGAGTCAAAGGGTAAGGTCACCGGGAAAACCCAGGGGTAGATCAGGTCACCTTTACTGGTACCATCAGGACTCCGCAGGACAGTGCACTCCTCGATATGGCCGAAGGGCTGGAACAGACGTCTGACATCCTCCTCACCCTGCTGCTTGCCCAACATCCCCACAAACAGCTTCCGGTCCTCTGGGGACAAAGCCAGGAATGACCTGGGGACCTCAAGTGTTCCTAGACTCCCCAGAGTCGCCTGTGGAGCTCGGGAAGGTGGCTCACCAGTCTAACTCTAGGAAGATGTGTAGGGAGTGAGAAGGCCACGGGACCCTAAAGCTGGGTCTCTTTGAGGGGCAGGGTGACCTAAAGGCAGATGCAGAGGAAAGAAACTCAGCTGAGATTTCCATTATGAAACCTGGATCCTGCAGAAGCTCACAGAGACTCATTGCTGCTCTTGTGGGAAGTTACCCAGTCTTGATGGCTTTGGGGGGCAGAGCCCTATCTATACACATCATGTTATACTTTGACCTTTTTTATTGTTAGACTTGTGCAATGCTGCTGGAGACTCAGAATGCTGGAGGAAGGGATGCTTGACTGTGACCTTACTGGTCAGCCTGGTGGCAATGGCCAAATCACTGCCCTTTCTTGCTTAAATTAAGGAGGGCTCTGTTAAAGAAACAAACAAATGCCAGCACAGAACATAGCTATCCTACTTTTAAGGTTTTAGCCTTAGACACTCAACACTGGAATGGTGAATCCTTAGCCCCAGTATCAAATTTAGCCAAAGACCTACAGAGAAAGTTTGGTTTTCTGAGCTTCTGACATTAGCATTTTCTCTACTGTGTCTGCTGAGCCCCTGAGCCCCTTTCCTAATTCCCAGACTTGGCCCCCTCCCATTTCCTTGCCTAGCTTCCAGGGCCCTCCCTGAGTCCTGTGACCTCCTCTTTGACATCTCATGCTCTCATGCCCTGATCACTCCTCTGGTGTGGTAACACCTTGGAAGAACACATTCTGTCTGTAACCTAGATGATCATCAAAAAACAAGGTATCTCTCCATGCACCTTCATTGCCTGTGGGAGTAGCAGAGAAAGGGACAAAATTGTAAACTGAGTCTCTGTCCCATGAGGAAAGTTAGAGGGCTTGGATTTGAATTAGGGATTAGCTATACATCTTCCAAGTTGGACCTCTGCAGGACCTCTTCCTGTCTAGGAAGCTGAGATTGAAGGGTAGGGTCCAGTGGACTCACTGTTATCGTCTGGATTCTTTCTAAAGTAAGCCTCTGAATTAGGGGTGGAGCTTGCCAGTGTAGAGCACGAAGAACATTGGGAAAGAAGGGTTGGTTGGGAATCAGGCTTCAGGTTTTATCTTTAAGATCCCAGAGCTCAGAAAAATCGAGCTCCTAAACCCCTTTACGACCTCACAAGCTTGTGGGGTAAGAGTTCAATCCTGTGGATGGTTTCTTTTTGCTTCTACAGGTGTTAGTGGGAAAATTGAACCTGTGGAACAGATCCCTGGTTTCCCAACCTCTTTAAAAAAAGTGGCGAAATATATTGTTTCAGCAACAATATTAAGATGGTGCTGGTGAGGTGACTCAGTGGGTAGAAGCACTTGCTGACAATGATGAACCTGATTATCATCTATCTATCTATCTATCTATCTATCTATCTATCTATCTATCTATCTATCAACCTATTATCTATCTATCTATCTATCTATCTATCTATCTATCTATCTATCTATCTATCTATCTATCTTCTGATGAACCTGAGTTCTATCCCTGAAACCCACATAGTGAAAAGAGAGTACTGACTCCCACAAGTTGTCTCTGAACTCCACATGTATGCTTTCTCCCTCTTCTCTCTCTCTCTCTCTCTCTCTCTCTCTCTCTCTCTCTCTCTCACACACACACACACACACACACACACACACACACAAATCAATCAATCAATCACTGTAATAAAGTATTAGAGTAAAAATAAAGATGTAAGAGAAAATCAGAAATGCCTGGACTGAAGCTAGAAAAGGGAGCTGAAGTCTTTCCTGTGCAATCCAAGGAAAGCTCTTCAAAACCATTAAAAGATAGAGGATAGAGTTCCAGATAATCCAAGAAGACTGGAAAGAACAAGGGGGCATGCAAGTCACTAAGCAATATCAAAGATGGGGCTCAACCTTCCAGGAATGGGAGGAGGTGGAAGGCAGCATCAGTGTGGATTTGAGTCTTGTATAAATATTATGAAATTCATGGCTTTGCCCTAACATTGAAGAACAGGCCTCAAGTGGTCAGGGAAATGTCCAACATCAAACGTCAAGAAGTCTGTGCTATTGTTCTGAGCTTTGACATTAAAATATGCCCATGTCTGCAAAAGGCCTGGAAGTGTCTGGAGAAGATCCCAGAACCTCCACAGTCCCAAGGGAGCTTCACAGTGCTCTAATTTATGGTAGAGCAGTGTCACTGATAGGGTCTGGAAGCTGTCATGCCTCCTGGGCCAGCAGCCAGGTAGCCCTGTGTGAGAAGAGAGAAGACAAGCTTAGATGAAACTACTAACATAGTAAAGAGGTTTGTGTGGACGGTGGCCTTCCCATCCTTCATTTAAACTTCATGTTGCCCTTTTCTGCCCATGGTGGAGTGTGGCCTCAGCATAGCTATCACAGGCACCTTTGATCCTCCTGTCTCAGTAAGAACCTCTTGATTTAGTCATTTCCATCAGGGCATTGAGCCTATGGTTCTGGACTACTGGGATGTAAAAATGTCATTTTTGAAAAGAGCACTCCTTGTGGGCTGGGTTCTCTGTTTCCAAGGTTATCACTTGAATCTTGGAACTTTCTCTGCTACTTTAATGTTTCACAGGATGATGAGCTAGGCCACGGTGACTATGAACTTCAGGCAATCCAGAAATGGTGGGATAATTTTAAGAGACTTGATCAAAGGCAAGCCTGGATCCTTTAGTGTCGCCTCCAACACTAAGACTCTAAGGCTTATTGATTCCCCTTTAGATAGAAAGGATGGTGCTAACAGCCCAGATATATCAGTTTCCTCTAAATCAAACTCTACTGGTTTGTTTAAAGAAAAAAAAAAAAGGATTCTACAAGAGCTAGGAATAAATGTCTGAGTGAGGGCTGGGGATGTAGCTCAATGGTAGAGCACTTGTATAGCATGACAAAACCTGGAGTTCAATGCCAGTACTTAAAACCATCTGAGTAAGAGTATCCAACGGGGGCTGGAGAGGTCACCAAGCTGTTAAGGGCAGCGGCTGCTCTTCTGGAAGACCCATGTTTGATTCCCAGCATCCACATGGTGAATGGTTGACAATCACAGTTCCAAGGGATTCAATATCTTCCTCTGCTCTCGGTAGGTCTCAGGCACACACATGGTGCATAAACATACATGCAGACAAAATACCCATACACATTAAAAAATAACATATAGAGTATCCCATGGAGGGTGGGTTGGTCCCTAAAGACAGAATATCAGTTGTGGACTTCTATCTTCCTGGAATGGAAGAAAAAGGGAGGTAAAATCAGTGGGGAGTTGAGACATAATTGGAAAGCCACATTGTTCAATGGTATGATTGCATTTTCCTATTGGCACCTAATGTATACTCCTTGTTCTTCTAGCAGATGTTTTTGAACTCCAAGCAAGTGACTTAGGCTCTCACATGTTCATTTCCATGAAGCTACTTTGTGTATTGGGTCATATAGGTCAGGAATTTTAATGTAACCAATGATATGTTTGAGAGCCCAGAATCAGTCTAGGCTGTCTTCTGAAGAAAGAAGGAACCAGAGTGCTGATCAAAACCAGAAGGTCTTACCTGAGGTGTACACATTTCTGGCATTTAGGGCCTTTATACCCACTCTCCTTGACATTGGTGGGATGCCATGACTATGAGTAAAAGTTGCAACTTTTGGGTACCAACCACCAAACCCATTCTGAAAACATTCAGTTCACCTTTCAGTCCAAAGTCAACCCAGAAAGCCCTGCTGGAGCAGTGGCTGCAGCAAAGCCTCTCTCCCTTGGTGTTCCACTGCAGTGGAAGAAGCTAAGGAAGACTTAACAAGTAGGCAAAACCTCCTGGCCAGACAAACATCAAGAAACTTAAAAGACCTGGGGTACAGCTTACTTGGCAGGATGCTTGCTCAGTATGGGTCCGATCTCTAGCACTTCATAAATCAGGCATTGTGGCATACACACTTGTGATCTGACACTCAGGAGGCCAAGGCAGGAGAATTAGGCATTCAAGGTCATCCTCAGTTACATAGAGGCAAACCTGGGCTACCTGAGACTCTATGTCAAAAATAAAAAGGCTTAACCAGTTATGGTGCTCACCTTTAATCTGCACTCAGAAGGCAGAGGCAGGAAGATCTCTGTGAACTCAAGGCCAGCCTGGTCTACGTAGTGAGTTCCAGGCCAGCCTGGTCTACATAGTGAGACACTGCTGAAAAAAGTTTTGTCTTCAGTGGGCAAAGAACTGGGTGGCATTATGGTAGGTGGGGGCAGAACGGCCAGCTGGATGCCAGCCTGGGTTACATAACGAGACACTGTCTCAAAAATCAAAACAAACAAACCAGCTAATCAACTAAACACACCATCAAAACCAAACAATAGGCAAAGATCTTAAATTGATATTTCTACAAAAACATACCAATGAGCAAGAAGCATATGAAAAAAATTTTAATATTAGTCATCATTAGGGAAATGGAAGTCAAAACTATATAGACACATCACCTCCCACTTACTGAAATGACTGCTGTCAAAGACACACACACACACACACACACACACACACTCACACACACACACTCACACACACACACTCACACACATACACACACACATACACACACACACACACACACACACACACTCACACACAGGAATCACAAATGTTACTGAGGCTGTGGAGAGACTGGAACGTTGGTGCCAGGAAGGAAGATAAAAAGGCACAGTTGCCGTGGTATAAATAGTATCCGGTTTGGCGGCAAACGCCTTTAACCCCAGCACCTGGGAAACAGAAGCAGGTGGATCCCAGTGAGATCAAGGCAAGCCTGTCTACAAAGAGAGCTCCTAAGCCAGTCAGGGCCACACAAGACCCTGTCTCACTGCCCTTCCTCAAAAGATGTAATGGCAGTCCCCCAAAAATAAAAACAGAATTACCATATGATCCAGCAGTATCTCTTTTGAAGTATTTATGCCAAAG